ACATTTGCCAACATGTAACTCTTGAATGAAATGCTCTTATCCTGTAACATACTCAACGTGACCTTCCATTTCCATGCTGGTGTATGAATTCAAAGAAACCTCTTTTTCTAGCCTCATTATTTGATCAGAATGTTGAATATTATTTTTTTAATAAAAAAATATATATATTTAAATTAACCATCGCCATCCATTGACAATAGCAAAATAAATAGGCATGTATTATACTGAACATTTTCCACTGTCCATTTCTTTGTTTCGGGGCTATTAAAACCATTAAATGAATGAATGCATTTTATGTCACAGCTCACGATAGTCACTTGTGAAGGCTTTTGAAACTATTTTTTTGATGCATCAGCATCAGACATTATGTTGTCATAATGTCATTTTCAGTTATTTGCAATTCATGATATTGTATTTTTAGTTCATGCCACTTACAGTGTAAGCCTAATATCCATATACTTTAAGAATGTATTTACACATTATATAAGGAATCATATAATCATATAAAATACATATGTGGTTTCTCTAAAGGCTTTGAGGACTTTGACATTTTATATTATAAGACAAGCTGTGCATATAAATATAAAAATATAGAAGGGCTGTATACAGTATATACTGAACAGTGCTCAGTAAGTAGTAAGCTAGTATTCCATTACGAACAGTCATGACGGCACTGACCACTACACGACTTTCAGTAACGCTGACATGCAGTCACTGCAGACTCATCTGTAATATGTCTAATGTAAGAAATACTATCAACACAAACGTAAGCCAGTTAGAAAAAAATAATAGTGTTTTCATCCACCTTGGAAGGTAAAAAAATGAGAGTTGGGTTCCTTCATTTGAAAAGCATTTTGCAGTCTGACTTCAGAGGGTCGCAGCAATGAGTTTGAGAATCCACTTTGAAAGCAAAAGGGATAATCAGCAGCCTTGGATGTCGGGTTGTCACTTCCCAGAAGCATTCCAGAAACATCACAGGGCACTCTCGTAAGTCACCGGGGTCCCCGATGCAGATAAAGCACCTTGACTGACAGCTAACACAAACATACACATTAATTTAACACAATGAAAAATGTTAGCACCAAGCAACTGTTAGAGAGATTTCAGTTACTTAATTACATCTATTTATACTATTTATGAACAGCGTATATAAAAATATGTACAGTAGGCTAGTTATAAGAAGGGTTAATTTCATATTTTCCACACAACGCAGGTTTATGAATTTGAAGCAAACTGAATCTACTGGTCTCATAGAAGCTGAAGCATTTTGTGTGTTTTTTAACACATAAGCAAAGTGCAATAGCCAGCATATTACAAACAATAAAGCAAACACAGAGTGAAACAGGACAAAGGGTGACCTGCCAGCATGCAAATTCACCAAGCTGTGGTGATGCATTTCCATGTGCATCTCATGTCGCATGTTTATCAAAATAGATTAGCTGCTATATATTTTTGGTGGCAAGACAACTGCAGAAATCTACTTCAGTATTATTTGCACAGCTATGCAGTTTAGATCTGACCGTTAACGCTGTTTCACGCATACCACACAAATAGCACTTCTCATGTAAGAGTGACTAATGTTCATGTTGCTAAGTTAACGACTAATGCTGCAAGAAAGATTCATTGCAGACATATACATACTGTACATACATGTATGTGTATATACAATGTTTTAAGATTTTTCCATGTTTTTGAAAGTCATTTCATGCTTAATACCCAGTCTGCATTTATTTGATCAAAAATACAGTAAAAACAGTAATATTGTAAAATAATTACAATTTAAAATACCTGTTTTCTTTCTCTTTTTTTTTTTGTATATTTGTACATTTTAACATATTTAGTAAACATTTTATTTATTCCTGCAATGGCAAAACTGAATCCAGTGTTCTAATACATTTTATTTTAAATACAATATTTAAATATTACAAATTATATTTAATATTACAATAATATAATATA